CGTATAAAAAATTTTCTTTAACAATTGTGTAACAATCGGATCGTCATTTCCTAATTTGGGACGGTCTCCCCTGGAAGTACTATCATAGTAAACTGACGGATAAGAGTAATTATCCAAATTATCCTGATTCAAGTTCTAGTTATAATTAGAGAAAACGAATCAAAAATTGTATAAGGGACACCTACTCTGTATTCATCGATTAATAATCAATTTTATTAATAGTATTCCTTATTGCTATATTTGATCCGCGAAAATTTATAAATATGCCTTCTTCACACTAGATTGATTTCTTTACATTCGACTGATTTCTCAAAAAAAAAAAAAAAATGGCTTCAAAAATAGCTGTTCAACCACTTAAACCAATAGATCTCTCTGAAAAAAAACATTTTACTTTTGATGACATTCCCGATTTGACTGGAAAAGTAATTAGATTATTTTTATCATTCGATTAATTAAAATATATAACATACCGGCCTATTAAATTTCTATCTATTCTAACTAGGTTGCAATCGTTACGGGAGGAAATACTGGAATAGGATATTTTACGTGCAGAGAATTAGCCAGACAAAGCGCTCATGTGTTTGTATTAAGTCGTAATATCGAGAGAGGTCAGACAGCCGTTGAAAAAATTAAATCTGAGACTGGTAATCAAAATGTTGAATTTTTGCAATTGGATTTAAAAAAGTTAAGATCCGTTAAAGAATGTGCCGAAAAATTTTTGGCTAGAAATTTACCATTGCACATTCTGTAAGTTTTATTATTATGACTAGTTTACAATAATTTAAAAGTTACAAATTTTAAAGTTACACAAATTTAACCTAATTAATTGATTATTTTTATCAGGATTAACAATGCGGGAATCACAACAAAGTAAGTAATAAGGTTAAAAAATATGGTTTCTTTTTACATGTAATTTCACTTATGCCTATAAGAATATTTTGAATAATAAATCAATATAATAAAATAGAGAATTTTCGCTTACTGATGATGGAATTCAAGAAGAATTTGGAGTAAATCATGTCGGCCATTTTGTAAGTAAATAAATAAGCAAATAAATAAATAAATTATTAATTTATTAAATAACAAAATTCATAATAACAAACTTTTTATATTGTTAGCTTTTGACTAAATTATTATTGCCAAAAATTAAAGCTTCGCAACCAGCACGTATAGTAAATCTTAGCAGTCATGCTCACAGAGCATTTGCCTCTGAGGGTGGATTTGATTTCGAGAAATTAAACGATCCAAATGCAATGGACTCAATGCCACGTTATGGTCTATCAAAACTTGCAAATATTTTATTTACTAACGAATTGAATAAACGATATCTTGAAGGCGAGCAAATATATACTAACTCTCTTCATCCAGGTAATAATAAAATAATTTTAAAACCATTATATTAATTCATAAATTAATTAATATTGCTTATTGTTGTTGTTATTTATTTAGGACTCATAGATACAAATCTGATAAAAAAGAATGATTTTGCTTTGCCAGAACATTATTTGGTTGGTTTAATCTCACCTGAGGATGGCGCTATTACTTCCTTGTATTGTGCCACAAGCCCAGAAATCGAAGAGAAAAATTATCGAGCAAAATATTTTGAACCATTTGGTAAAGAATGTGAACTACCTCCATATGCTGAAGATGATGATTTGGCTAAACAACTTTGGGAATTTACCGAGCATTTGATCAACGAAAAATTGACTCAAAACTAATTGATTTATTCATTTATTACGGGTCTATTTAGTAAAATAGGTAGCTTTTTTTTTGTTATATATATCATAGTTAAATAAATATTATATTAAATAGTTGATAATCAATAAATTTTAATGTAAATCTTCTTTAAAAAAGTGCTTTCTAATTCGTGTTGCACGATTAGCATTTCGATTAAAGTTATGAGATAAATATAATATAGATGACACTTATTTTAAGTCAATTGATTATTTATTAAAGTGCTACTATATTAAATTTTATCCAAATTTATGTTATCAGCTTTTGATTTGCAAAATTATTTACAAAACGAACTAAACGTGTCATAAAAATGGTTGTATTGTATATTGGGGTGTATCCAGTGTTCGAAATCTCAGACTTAATGACTGTTCTCATGAGAACAGAAAAATATCTATAAGTGTTCTCAAACTATAGTTTGTGTTCGCTAAAA